ACACACTCGATTTAAAGTGTTTGATGCCTAAACTATCCATGACCTCCTTAAACAATTTAGGAGTAAAATTGGACCCATGGTCTGATTGAATCTCTCTGGGTAGTCCATTATGGGTAAAGAAAGCAAGCAACTCTTCCATAGCCTTTTTTCCCGTGATATTCAGTAATGGAATTGCCCCCGGAAACCTGGTAAACACATCTATTATGGTTAGCAAGTACTGGTTCCCACTTTTGGTTATAAGGAGGGGACCTACACAATCAATCATAACCCGCATAAAAGGTTCTTCAAATGCGGGAACTGGCATCAAAGGCGCTGGTTTTATTACTGCCTGTGGCTTTCCTACCATCTGACACGTATGACAGGCATGGTCAAATTCAACCACATCCTTATGTAATCCATTCCAATAGAAATGCTTCTGTATCATAGCCTGAGTCTTCCTCACTCCTAGATGACCTCCTACATGTAATTTGTGTGCTACCCATAATACTTCCTGTCTGTATGCTACCGGTAACACAATCAGGTGAACATCTGCCCACTTCTCCTCTGCACTAACTTGCCAAGGTCTCTATTTCCACCTTAGGATTCTATCCTTAAGATAATAACATTCTGAAATATATTCTGATTTTTTTTTTCCAAGTAGGCTTCATGATACAAATCTTTTGTCTCATCTTTTTGTTGTAACTCGATTAATCTTTCAGAACTAAACACCTCTGCCTGAGCCTTTACCTTGGTTATTCCTTTACCATTTGATCAAACAGAATGTCAACTAACTGGACCTCAACTCCTTCGTCTTTCTCTTTGGTTTTCCTTTCTTGCTTTAACTTATGATTGTGGGATCTTACACCACACAGTCTGGAAAAATTCCAGGAGTTTTTTCTTTCAACTCTTCAGTTCCCTGGACTTCTTTTGATTTCTCCACTATAATGGGTATCACTCCCACCTTTAATCTGGCTGCGTTGTTTCCAAGAATAGACACTCTTTCAATCACTCCCACTGTCACTTCCCCAGTCTTGATTGGACTTTCCAGCCTTATCTTACACAGGGGAAGGCTAAATCTCTCTCCATTTATTCCAAGGATTATTACTCTCTCGGATAACATTTCATAAGGAGTGCAACTACTTTGATCTCCTATGATTAGAGACTGACCAGCTCCCGTATCTCTCAATATTGTAATTTCTTTACCTTTGCCCCCTCTTCTACCTGCATAAACTTTACCCAGAGGTGAAGTCTTTGAAGAAGTCGGGCACCATCTCACTATACAGCCCATGACTAGGCTGTGCACACTCCTGCAGCTCCTTGACCTCTCTTGGGACTTCCTTTACTACCTTAACTAATCCCACTGGTTTAGCCTCTTCTACCACATCCTTTTCCCCAATGCTTTTCTTAAACCACCGGCACTGTGACTTTGTGTGTCCCCCTCTATTACACTGCAAACACGCAAGGTCTTTCACCTCTTTTCCACCCTCTTGGGTTTCTTTTCTCACATGTGGTAAACTATTCCCAGTGTGATCTACTTTTTGTTTTTCATTGAAGGATCTCTCTCTCTCTCAATTTCTATCCCTCATGGAATGAAATTGCTGGTGAGAGCTAGATTTCGATTTATGCACTGATGCATATTCATCCAGCATCTCTGCAGCTCTTCCCACTGTTTTAACTTTCTGTTCCTCATCATGAATTCTTATCATTTCTGGAAGTGAGTTTTTGAACTCCAGCAGAATAATCTCTCTAAGATCCTCATATGCCTTTTCTATCTTTGATGCTCTCACCCATCTATCGAAGTTGCTATGTTTAATTCTTTCAAACTTGACATAAGTCTGATCTGGATCCTTTCTTACATTTCTGAACCGTTGTCTATGTGCTTCTGGTACTAATTTGTAGACACTCAAAGTAGCCAGTTTTACGTCTTTACATTCTCTCGACACCTCATCTAACAGCCCTACAAATACCCTGCCTACCAACTTGATCTGAGTTAACATTACCCAATTATCCTTTGGGAAATTACAAAGGCTTCTACATCTTTTCATCAAATTTTGGTAATGTTTTGATATATTGGCATATATGTCTACCAGGTCTTTGGCTACAATGGGTTTGCTCATTATCACTCCCCTCCTCACTAAGCCTATCTTCTACCTTCATCTCCATTCTTTTAACTTGACTTTCCTGCCTAATTGTCAACTTTTGAAGTTCAAACTCTTTCTCTTTTTCTTTTTATTCTGCTAGAGTTCTTCTTTCTCTTTTTTATCTTTTAATTCCAACTGTCTAATTTGCAATTTAATTTTTTCTAACTCCACTGCACATGCCTGTTTATCAGGTTCACCTAAATGCTTGAGTAGCTCCTTTACAATTTCAGCTTTCCTCTCATCCCTAGTTAAACCCAATTCTAGCCTGTTTGCTAAGTCAAAAAGTACATCCTTCCTATGTCTTTCTCAACTTTCCTGGCAAATTTGAGAAGCATCCTCAAGCTCCAGAACCTCTTTAGTAATGTTAAGAGCCATTTCCGCCACTTTTGATTTAACCACCTCAAGTAACCGAAAATACACAGATTTTCCAGTTCACACTTAAGTTTTATTTAAAGATCTAGGACATTAATCCCCAAGCTTGTTTCAATTTTCTGGACCTTTTGTACCCCAAATCTGTTCAAATCTATCCAAATTTGTTCAGATACGTTCAAATCCTGTACACGAAGTGGCCAGATCCCGGAGTCGGGCAACCACTCTGTTACAAAGCAGAGGGGAGGTCAATGCATCTCTGATAATTGAAACCAAAACCCCCAGACAAGTTCACCTCACCTCGTAATGTATCAAAGGAAATGTGAAAAGTGGTATAACCTGCCTCTCACCTCCCAATCTGTTATAAAGGAGAGGTGAAATAAAATGAACTCCTGCCAGTCGCTGTATAATCAACAAATAACAATTTATTTACCTGACTCCAACTGTTAACAAATTAACTGAACTACTAACATACTGAACAATTCCTCCTTAACCACTAACTATTCGCGAATAAAACAAGATTCTCATGGTGTACTGTTCCACTAGATATAAGTACCACTTTAATAAACCAAATTATTTTAAAAAAGCTTAATCTCTCGAAATTAGTCAGGAGAAGTCTTCCACAATGTTCTTTGCCTTCTCTGCTGTCCTACAGTCAGGAATGCCTTTCTCCGTCAAATTCTTGTGTCAGGAATATTTGATAAGAGTGCTGTAGTACCTATATTTAGATGCTGCTTACTCTGGGAGCTTAGAGATTTCTGTGAGAACCAGTGAGTTTCTCTTCAGATGGCAGTTCACTCTCACCCCAATTTTTAAAATAACCTCTTCTTTATACCCTTGATGACCGACCAATTTCTTACAACAGGTTTGGTCCTCGGTTGTCAAAACCATCAAATTTAAATTTAATTGATTTTTAGTATCTAAGTGCCTGGTTTAAATTAATTGGTTGATGTTCAACCTGGTTGCCTTGTTAACAAAACAAGACTGTTTTTTTTTCTAACCATACAGCCTTTGAAACAAATGTTTCAATTTTGACAACACTCTGTGCATCTGCAGACTCTTTTTTTAAATCTCCAGGCCAAGTAAAGCACATCATCTTTTAAAGGGATCACATACTCTTTCTCCCCGAACATCTTACAAAGAAATTCTGATGTCCTGCCTTCCAGTTCACAAGAACTATACCCAACATCACAGCAAAGGGCAATGAGAATTGTACACGGTATTCTAAAAATGGCCTCACCAATGTCTTATACAGGCACAACATGACATCCCAACTCCTATACTCAATGCTCTGATCAATGAAAGTAAGTTTGGCAAAAGCTTTCTCTATCATGCTGTCTACTTGCGATTCCACTTTCAACGAACTATGCACCTGCACCCCTCGGACTCTTTGTTCAGCAACATTTCCCAGTGCCCTATCATTAACTGTACAAGTCCTTCCCTTGTTTGCCTGAGGAAAATGCAACACCTCACCCTTATCCAAATTAAACTCCACGTCACTTCTCGGCCCATTGGCCCATCCAATCAAGGTCCTGTTGTCCTCTGAGATAATCTTCACTGTCCTATTGTTGAGATTAAATCAAATGTTCAAACTCTCGCATCATCATATTTTGTTGCTGGGTATAAATATTATTTCAGTATTAATTGTTTCAATGAAAGTTACATTGGATAAATAACAAACATTTGTTCTCATTAAAGAAGTATATGTATTTGATGTACAATGGCTGCCAAAATTTCAAATATAACAAGATATATTCTTGAATCTCTTTTTAACAAATCCCTTGAACGTAATAGAAATTCATACATTTTATGATTAAACTTCTCAGAAAGCTTAGATATCTAATGTGATAGTTGTAATTTAAAAATTGCAAACAGAGCTTTGAAACAAAAAACACACTTGTTTGTAATGCAATAAGAAAAGCCATCTATAATGAATAATTTTAGATATCTTGTCACATAGCACACTCTGTTCCATTAATGAACGTAGAGTAATAAAAGCACAGAAGGAGATCATTTGGCCTATCAACTTGGTTCTCATTCTCTGTAGAACAATACAGTTGGTCCTATTCCTCCATAACCCTGCAAGTTATTTTCCTTCATGTGGCCATCAAGTTTCTTTTGAAATCAATCATCATCTCCACTTCCACCACCCTTGTAGACAGCAAAATCCAGCTAGATGGACTGAAGTTAGATGCTATACTTGAGTTGTGGACTATTCAGAAAGGTTCAGCATAACTGTCTTGATTTTGCACTCAATACCTCCCTTTATGAAGCTCAAGATCCTATAAGTTTTATGAATAACTATTTCAATGTGTGCTCCTACCTTCAAAGATCTATTTGCTTGAAACCCCAGCTCCCTATATTCCTGCCCTCTTTAGACCTGCCACATGAAATTTATATTTTATATTGCTAAAAGAAAACAAGAAGTTGAAGCTTTTCTTCTTCAATACTGTATATTGATCCATCTGTTCTGCAAAATTATCAGGCTCAACATGCATGAAATTCTCATACTTCCGATATCCTGAAGAACTGCAGGTTGTCTAGGTGAAAGTGCATTTTTCCCATCTTTTAGTTGTTCACTGGGCAGAATGATGGGGGGACTGTAAATATTACCCCAGTCTCTGTAGATATAAGAAAATAACCATTTAGTAAGATACAGAAAAAAGATATACATTTGAAAAATATTATGTTAGAAAAACCTAACTGATATCAATTACAAAAACATTACTGAAATTGGTACTGGACAGAAATGTTCTCCTGGATACTGAAACTTAACAGTATTAATTACATTACTGTTATAATTAACATTGTATCCATGGTGTAACTATGATACTGATGAATGACATGATCTTTATACACATTAAGAATGACAAATCACACTGCAAATAGAAATTAACCTTTTTTGCTAATGTGACATGAATTCTAATGATTGATATGTCCATCATCGCATCACTAAACTCACTGAGTTAACTTAATTGTTAGCTAGGTTAGCTGCTAAATGCATGTTGTACTGAAGGTCCAGAGTCTTGCTTATAAAAAATAAAAAGATGAGCAATCATTACATTATAATATCTTACATCATAGTAACGTGAAAAAAAACAAATCATAATGGAATTATAATTAATCAGCAAATAAAACAACATTTCAAACACAAAAGTAATTTTTCTGTCCGATGACTTCACAATAATTTGATATGCATTTCAAGTACCTCAAGACGGCGAGCTATAAATTTAATACCTTTGGCAGACCTGAGGATGGTGCACGAGACTCAGTATGCTTAATTCTGGTAGCTTAACACAGAGGAACATATTCTCTTGACATACTGATTAGTGTCAGAATGAAACCAAAGAAGAAAACATCACCTATTGAATAAAAACAGAAGTTGCTGGAAAAGCTCAGCAGGTCTAGCAGCATCTATTAAAAAAAATTTCAGAGTTAATGTTTTGAGTCCAGTGAACCTTCCTCAGCACCTTCCTTCAGTCATCTATTGAATACCTAGTCTTATTACAGAAAAAGAAACAGAATCAGTGCGTCCCATTTTTTCATCTACAACTTAATTGTTATTCATACAAAGTTGAAGAGCAGTATTTTTTAAAATAAAAATTTAATTAATTTTAGATCTGTGTTACTCATAGCAAATATACTCATCATATATGTTAAAAAGCACAGCATATTCACTCACAAGATATGCATCATTTGTCAAAGGCAGTAAAATCATTCACTACTTACTTTTATTGGCCAAAGTGGGTCACAAGATTCTAACTGAACCACACTGCATTAAAACACATCATGAACTTCACATCCAACTACTTTATATTTCAATGTTGACCTCAGGGTATGTTGTTTTGGTTTTGGTTGCTGATGTGATTGTTCTGAATGAATGACCACGGTAATCAGTGCATGAGAAATTGCCACTCCACATTGTTACAAAGACACTTAATATTTCATTATTTTTGGAGGACTTAAATTTTAAAGGATGTGAAAAAATGGATTTATTTCAGGTTTTGTGGAAGTACCTAGAGTGTCTCTTTATAAGAGATTGTTGAAGTATGAACACTGAGATTTTGTTTAATATAGTTTCCTAGAAGTCACATAATTAGCAATTTCGAGCTTTGTTGTAGACCATACTGGACCTTGTTTGAACAGTGACAGGATGGAGAGTGCTTTTGTATGGTGAGTATGGGGAGTGCAAAGCCTGTCAGGAAGGGCTCTTCAGTTGATCTCTCCTATTTTCTGAAAAAAGTCCTCTTGTTGAGTTCAGGGTGAAACTTAATCAACCATCTGAAACAGTGATTGAAGGAACCTTAAAATTGTATTTCTTGAGCTCTCTTGAGCAAACTGTATCTGCCAAGACTCTAAGGTAACTGCACAGGATTAATGACATAACCATGAGCCGGAACATTGGAGTGACAGACTTTAGAACTTTCTACTCTATTTGCTTTTGACTTCAAGAATATTCCTAAAGTAAATGTGTGTATGTGCGTGCGTGCGTGTGTGCGTATGCATGAGAGAGAGAGTGTGAGTGAATGAGTGAATGAGAGAGAGAGGACGCCTATACGTGCATGTCTATTTGTGTTTGCGTATGCATATAGGATTGTTTAGATGAATAAACATTTATACCTCTATATTATCAACTGCATATGCTAACCAGTTATAGACCTTTCCATTGAAAACGTGATATCAATAAAGTGTTTCATTGACCATCTCTGTAATTGGAATTTTGGTTTTGTATGTTGTGACCTGTGGAGTAGTGGAGCTAAAATGATGGTGCACTCCTCCATTTATTTGAAGAACTATCTAAACAAATACCATTACTTCCATGGAGTGGGCAAGGAAAATTGTAATGGACCATTCTTCTCAATGCATAAAAAGCATTTTCCAGTAAATTCTACAGTGAGTGTTGCTGTGCCAACTTTGTATGAGAAATAACAATTGGTTGAAAATAGACTAGAATTTTAAAGTCAGGTTTATCCACCTACCCACATTGAAAAATCTCAGCACCAACACCAACCCCCGACCACCCCCTCCAATAATCCTCACAACCCCAAAGGCAAATTGCACTCTAATTTCAGACAAGGTCATCAAATGGGCAGACATAATTCTTGCGCCACTGCCCTGAGGACAGCAAGCCTTAATTCTGTTAGTGACCACCACTGGTCAAATCAAAAGCTACTGACAGTCTGGATCCAGAATAGAATAGCTATACAAACAAATAAAAAAATGAAACAACAAGGAGAAAATGCATCAAATTGCTTCTGGAAGATAGGAATGATCAAAATAAAGGTCGTTTGAGTGAACACAGTGCAAGTGAAATCAATCAGAAAACCAGATAGAAATTGACAGCTTGCTAAAATTCCGACAGGCTATGATTCAGAATATCAATCAACAGCAGCCTTGATCTCTAATCTTTTATCTGTGAAATCAATTTAACAGCGTAAACAAGAAAAAGGAGGCACAACTGGGAGAAAAAGCAAAATGAATCTGAAACGCACAAACTGCGACACTGTAAATGACAAAAATACAATTAAGAATAACTGAATAAGTAGGATATACTGCTATCTCTTAGCAATTCTTCCACATTTTCTTGCCTCTAAAAGGACGAGCAAGGTGTGATTTTGAAATCTCTATGTAAATTATCTTGCAAAGCAGTTGAACAAAAAGTTTATATAATACCATTCAAGATATTGTGCATTTTATTTGCTGTTTTGAACAATAATTTATTGTAATCAATAAGTTTGAGATCATGCTGTTTGAAACTGACAGCTCAGATAGACATGCACCGATATATTTTCACAATAACTGCAAGGAAATACTTTTGAAGTGTAGTCCCTATTATAATGTAAGAATCCATTTTTCTTACAGTGTTGTTGATTTACAGAAAAATATTGGCCAGGACACCAAGGAAAACTCCCATGCTCTTCTCCAAAACAGTCCCATGGAACCTTTAAAAAGAGCTCAGAGAACATCTCAGTTTAACATCTCATCTGAAAGATGTCACTTCGGATAGTGCTGTGCTCCCTCTGCATTGCACCAGAGCATGAACCAAGGGTTTTGTGTTCACATTTTTGTGTGAGACTTCAAATCATAACTTTCTCAAACTGAGGTAAGGGTGAAACCAAATTAACAATGGCTGACACAAGAAGCATGCTTCAAACTCATGATGATATAATTTTTCTTCAACCCGCATATTGTATTTGTACACTGATACTCTGTTGCATTCTGGGAAAAGCATGAGGTATAAAACAGCCTCAATAATCATATTTGTGGTGGAATTTGGCTGGAGGTCAGATTTTAGTATTATTAGCAAAGTTTTCTCATAAATTACGATTAATAAATCACAAAAAGTACGAGGTGAAGTTTAACACATTTTTCAAGGTTAAAAATCTGTTTTATTTTATGTATTTATTCTACTTATGCCAGTTTTGCCCTCAAGTGATTGGATGGATTTTCCAAATGCAAGACTTATAATTGTGAATGAATGAATTGAAATTAGTGAAAGTAAATACATTAAGGGAGAAATTGCTATAAATTATCTGCCAGAATCCAAAATTGGGATCACGTCTTGCCATTTTCTACTTGTTTCAAGCCAAAATGGTTATTTTTTAACAATGCAGCAACACAAACACAGATCTTTTAAATTAATAGTTTATGGATTTCTGCTAAGATTAATGTAATATGTATGTTGACTGATACTGTGCAGCTGGGATTTAACGAAATATGACATTGTGAATCTGTTAAATATCAAACTGTTTTCAACAACAGGAAATTAATAAAATATTCACAAACAGGTATGTGAGTAACAAAACAAAATTAAGATCCACGCAACCATTATTGCTTCACATTAGAAAATAATAACTCGTGAATACTTTAGAGATGGAAAGGGATAGGTATATACCGCAGGGCAAGAGTTATAGCTGGGGGAAAGGCAATTATGAGGCAATTAGGCAAGATTTAGGATGCATAGGATGGAGAAGGAAACTGCAGGAGCTGGGCACAATTGAAATGTGGAGCTTGTTCAAGGAACAGCAACTGCGTGTCCTTGAGAAGTATGTACCTGTCAGGCAGGGAGGAAGTGGTTGAGCGAGGGAACCGTCGTTTACTAAAGCAGTTGAATCTCTTGTCAAGAGGAAGAAGGAGGTTTATGTAGAGATCAGGCGTGAAGGCTCAGTGAGGGCACTTGAGAGTTACAAGTTAGCCAGGAAGGACCTAAAGAGAGAGCTAAGAAGAGCCAGGAGGGGACATGAGCAGTCTTTAGCAGGTAGGATCAAGGAAAACCCTAAAGCTTTCTATAGGTATGTCAGGAATAAAAGAAAGAATGACCAGAGTAAGATTAGGGCCGGTCAAGGACAGTAGTGAGAAGTTGTGCGTGGAGTCCGAAGAGATAGGAGAGGCGCTAAATGAATATTTTTCGTCAGTATTCACACAGGAAAAAGACAATGTTGTCGAGGAGAATACGGAGATACAGGCTAATAGACTAGACGGGATTGAGGTTCCTAAGGAGGAGGTGTTAGCAATTCTGGAAGGTGTGAAAATAGATAAGTCCCCTGGGCCGGATGGGATTTATCCTAGGATTCTCTGGGAAGCTAGAGAGGAGATTGCAGAGCCTTTGGCTTTGATCTTT